ATAGTGTAGGAGGAATATAATTGTGAATGTATGAAAATCTTGGAAGTAAATCAAATTAATGGTTGAAGTTTAAGAACCTTAGACGATTGCAATGGAAATATAATGCAAAACAATGTAGTATAATGTGGTTAGGTACCTAAGCTTATATAAGGTTGTTAGGTATATTCATTTTACCCATATATATATATATATATATATATATATATATTATATATATATATATATATATATATTGTTTTTTTACATTTTCTTCGCTTATATTTTATTTTATTAGTTATATTTTATTTGACTTTTTATCTAAATATATTGTTTAATGTTTCTTTTTCATATTTTGTCCGCTTACATTTTTGTGAATAAAATTTTCAAGTCTTTAACATTTTGTTTGAGTAGATATTTTAATGCTTTTTTTTATGTTTTATTTGCTTATATTTTTGTAAAGCTTTTTATAAATAGTTTTATAAAAAATATAAAAATGTTTGTTAAAAGCGAATATGATTAATATATAAGCTACCTGAAATTCAAAATGGGTGTAATTGCATAGGCTAATAGTAATCCGTATAACTAAAAAACAAACAAAATAAAAGAAAATTTAAGAATGAGCTCAGAAAACATTGAAACATCTTTTTAAGTCATATGAATTCCGATTAGCCTTTGCCCTCCGAAATTCTTATAACTCGAAAATAGGTGTCAATATTTTTGAGTTTAATTTTTTTATTTTAGAAATTTTGTTCATTTTCAGTTTATATGAATTCCGATTAGTCTATATATAACTTAATATTTGTTTTAAATTCCGGTTAGGCTATATATTAAACATATTAAAAATAATTATTTTATATTAATTAATGTTAGTCATACTCACATTTAACAAACTTTTTTATATATTTTTTTTACAAAAAATATTCATAAAATGTAATAAAAATATAAACAAAAAAAACATCAAAATAAAATATAAGTAAATAGAACGTAAAAAATAATATATATATATATATGAAAAACAAAAATTTAAAAGAAAAGGTAAAATCTTTTTTTAATGGATGAGAGGTATACAGTGTAATTTATTTAAATCATATTAAATTTCAAAAAATTAGATTAAAAGTAAGAATCTGACCACGTAATAAGGATTAAACTTGTAATTTAGTTTTTAATAAATGTATTTTGTAGGTCAGGATCGTTACTTTTGATGGATGTGACACGTTGTCAATAGTGGATTGGATTAGATGATTGCCATGTGGTTGGATTAGCTTGCGTGGAAAACTTGTTGGGACTACCATTACTTTTGATGGATGTTGATTTGTTGTCGGCATCTTATTGAACCACATGTATCCAAAATACATAGTCCTACACTTTGACAAATTGTGTACATTTATTGATGACCCTATAATTCCACATATAAGGTTTAAAGAGTTTTTTTTTTTTTTTTTTTTTTTTTTGAACGGCAGGCATATATTAGAAAAAAACTAGCCAGGGGCTAGGAGGTACAATCAGATTAAAACAGAAAATGAAAGATAGAAACAAAACAAAAGGACAACAGAATCACGATCTATGACAACATTTTAGAATTGGATCGCAGCACCATTCAATCCATCGTATCTTTTGCCCTCTCCTCTTCCTTGCATTGATCCATAAGTGAGAATAGGCTTGTACCTCATACACCAGCATCGATTTTGAGATTAAGCTTGAGTTTGAGTTTGAGTTTGTAGCATGTGCCTTACTATTCCTGAATCTCCAAATTACCCACATGAAGACTAGCACTATAGCTTCGTGGATCTCCTGCAGACTATGGTGTCCATTACGTCGATTTTTACATTCCAGCATCTCCCGACAGGAGTTAGGGGAAGTATCTAATGTTCGCCACCATCTACGCACATGCGACCAGACTTCACTTGAGATAGGACAACCCATAAAGATGTGATCTTCTGATTCAGGAGATACTTGACACATCTTACACATGTTTAAAGAGCTAATGCCAAGATTGAAAAGGTTCAGCATACATGGAAGTTTCCCATGACAGACTCGCCAAGCTAGGATGTTCACCTTACTCGGGACTAAAGGATTCCACTTCCATATTTTGCCACTGTGGGGGAGGACCAGATTGTCGATGAGAGAGCGCATAGAAGAAACCGTATATACCCCCGAGGATTCAAGAGACCATGTCCATTTGCTTGAGCCGTCAACATTTTGTACTTGCCGGAGGTGATTCAAGAAAGGAACCTAATCTTTTTCTAAAGATAGAGGGAGGCAGGCTATTGACCCCCAGCAGCCACTTCTCCTTTTTGCAGCCAAAGGGCGGGAAAGACCACCATCAGGTCCATGGATGGCTTTTATCACCAAAGCCCATGTACTGTCAGGATGAGTCCTGAAACGCCACCACCATTTTCCAAGTAGGGCGAGATTTTGCGCCCTCAAACTACCAATACCCAATCCGCCTCTTTCCTTAGCTGCGAGGGTTTTTTCCCAAGCAATCCAGATCATTTTTCTTGATTCCATGGAGCTGCCCCAGAAAAACCTCTTCCGAATCCTTTCAAGGCTATCAATTACCCTAGCAGGGGCCTTATAAATTGAGAAGTAGAATGTACCCAGGCTGCTTAAGACTGCTTTGATTAAGGTCAACCGTCCCCCAAACGAAAGTGTGGAAGCTTTCCATCTAGATAACTTTGCCTGAAATCTTTCAATGATAGGTTTCCATTGGGCTACCCTTGCCATCGGAGCACCAACTGGAAGTCCTAAATAAATGAAAGGAAAAGTGTCAATTTTACAATTGAAAGAGCGAGCCACCAGCTCCAACTCGGAACTTTGTACACCAAGACCATACAATTTACTTTTCGCCATGTTTATCTTGAGTCCTGAGGACAACTCAAAACATCTTAGGATCCTTATCAAGTTTTTTGTGTTTTCCAGCGACCATGAACCCATAAATATCACGTCATCGGCGTAAAGGAGGTGGGAAATTACTGGGCCTTGGCGGGGGAGTTGGATACCTCTAAATAAGCCTTTTTTCCTTCGCCGCTTCCATTGCGACATGAAGACCTTCCGCTGCAATGATGAACAAAAACGGGGATAGTGGGTCTCCCTGACGAAGCCCACGCTCCATGGCAAATTCTGATGTTGCTGATCTGTTTATAATCACCGAGACCCTAGCCGACGATAAACAACCTCGAATCCATGAACGCCATTTTTCTCCAAAATCCATTTGCAGCATGACTGAGTCAAGGAACTCCCAGCTAAGACTGTCGAAGGCTTTTTCAAAGTCTACTTTGAAAGTGAAAGCTTTCTTTTTATTCCTCTTAACCCAGCTTATGACCTCGTTCAAGATAAGGGGCCCATCGAGAATATTCCGATTTTTAATGAATGCCGACTGTGTTGAGCTGACCACCAAGTGTACCACCTTTTTTAGTCTTTCAGCTAGGACCTTTGAGATTATTTTATACATGCATCCAATTAAACTAATTGGGCGGAAGTCATTTATTGTGATCGGGTCTTGAATCTTAGGGACAAGGATAATAAAGGAAGAGTTGCAGCCTTTCTCGAATTGCCCCGAAGCTTCAAAGTGTTTCACTGCTAGGTATAGATCCACCCCAAACTCCTCCTAATATTGTTTTAAGAAAGCAAAGGTGAAACCATCAGGGCCTGGTGCCCGGTCCGAGCCACAAGCCCAAATGGCTGATTTCACTTCATCGAGAGAGATAGGCTCTTCTAAGAACGAGATCGCGTGGGGGGTAATTTCTTAAACTGAGGGCTGAGGAGTTTAGGGCGCTGCTTGAGAGGTTCAGCGAATCTCCTGGCAAAATGATTAACAGTCAGCTCTTTTATTGCAACGGGGTCGCTTATCCAAAATCCGTTATCCTTGATTCCATTAATCCTTTGGGATCTCTGGTGCTTATTTATCACACCATGGAAGAAAGCACTATTCTCATCACCTTCTAGGGCCCAAGTGGTTCTAGATTTTTGTTTTAGATCCTCGATACGCCTAGATTCAATTTCCATAATTTTTTGGTATGCGGACTGTCGGCTTAAAAGGAGATCTTTGTTAATTAGGCCCTGCTCGGCCAATTGGTCGATGACGTTTATTCTGTTTGTAAGCTCATCCATCTCTTTTCTGGCTTTCTCGGAAACTTCCTTCCTCCAAGCTTTAATGTGCTCCTTTAAATTCCGTAATTTTCCTGCAACCATGGAGAGGGGAGAACGAAAAACCAGATGGCTTGGATTGCTGCTGATACACCATCCCCGCCTTACGACACCCACTAACTCTGGGTCTTTAAGCCAGGAATTATAGAGCTTGAATGGGGTTGGGCCAAAGTCAAGTTGGGAAGCAGATAGCAAGATAGCGCAATGGTCGGAATGCACCCTAGGCATGGCTGTAACATTTAGAGTTGGCCAGGTCTCGATAGCATTTAGAGAGACAATGAATCTGTCTAGCTTGCTATGTTTATCCCCTGCTGAGTTCATATACGTAAATCGTCGACCCCCCATTTTAATCTCCATCAGACCTATAGAATGTATGAATTCATTGAAATAAAAGGCGTTATTATGACAGAATGTGGAACCGAGTCTTTCTTCCGGCAGGCGAACGACATTGAAATCTCCAAAGACAAACCAACAGGAGTCTAGGTCTGAATTGATGAGATCAAATAAATTGTTCCACAAGGTTCTATTCCTCAAAGGATCTTGAGGGGCATACACGTTTACAAGACAACAATTTTTTCTTAGCTTATGCCAAATTCCTTTTATGGCAAGAAAGCCGACACCTTTTATTGATTCAGAAACCTGGAAAAAGGAGGGGTCCCATATGGAAGCTATTCCACCAGATAACCCCACCGGGTCAATAACCTCGCACTGGAAGTTTGGAGAGCCCCAAATTTGACTGTCTAGTTTGTTCTTCACCTCTGAGGACTTCGTTTCCTGTAACCCAACAAAAAAAGAGTGATGCTTGATGCGACAGTCTCTAAGCCAGCTCCTCTTTATTTCACACCCAATTCCACGAATATTGTTGGAGAAAATATTCATTGATCGATAATCGTCACTCCTCGAGTTTTGATCATCTGCTTGATTTGATCAGCTTGGTTACTAACCTGGAAACCAACAGATTCACCCACTGCGATTGTTTTTGCGACCTCCCAGGAAGTGGCATTTGACTCAGCGGTTATGGCCTGCGAGGTTGATTGGTGGGGCACCTGAAGAGACCTGGTCGAGGTTCCTTGTAATTGATGGGCGTCACCGATGGGGTGGGAGAAGGAAGGGGGAATTCTAGACGGATATGAGGGAGTATGAGGGCGAGACCTCGTCGGAGAGAGAGGCCTAAGGGAATGGAACCTAAACTGGTCATTGGATACCGATGGGAAAGACCGAGATGGGGCCCTGTTTAGGTCCAAGGAGCGAGTGGGCCGATGTATTTTGATTACAGGAGAGGGGGAAGCCCGCATTCTGTTTTGGCCCAAAGGGGAGAGCACACCCGCCGTGTCGCTACGTGCATCAGATGACGTAAATTCTTCACGCGGGAGTTCCAAGGTGTTATGGAGACGAGGAGACGCATTGGTTCCCGAGCCTGGAATATTTGCTTGCGACTTTTCATTTTCCCTATCATGCGACTGCTGGTCTTTCGCCGGAGATGCTTCCGGTGACATTAAGCCAACCTCGTGGAGAGCAGGGGCATCACTGTTGAAGCTGCCATTTTCTCCAATACTATCTTCATCCCACCATGACATTTTCTGGTAGAAATCATTGGCAGCAAGCACCGGACTGAGTTTGAGGGATTCGAAAATGTCTTCCAAGATATTTATTTGGAATGGCTTCCCATCCACCAAGATTTTGATGGAGGAACTAATGATTCTGGGGTGTGATGTAAGTATCCCGACCCTTCCGAATGCCAGATTAGGAGAGCTTGTGTTGCATTCTTCTGGAATGACCACTGACCCCCACGAGTTTGCAATGATACTAAAGGTCTCTTCGCACCATGCATGTTGAGGCACACCTTGAATAATTAGGGATGCGATTCTTTCATTGAAATTTATACCCTCTTCCCAGGCTGATATCGTTTTGAACCAAGGTTGCCAGATCTCCCATCCTTCGTTCAAAAACTTTTCCTTTTCTGCTATATTTTCAAATTCAAGAAGCATTTTAAGGCCTCCTAAGTATCTTAACTGGATCGACGGGCATCCCTCCACCTCCTGGAAAGCTTTCACATTCATGAGAGCTTGGAAGCTTTCAGCTTCCCCCACTAGAGTATTTTCCATGGCTTCTTTCGAGTCGTGGAAGGATATCAGCTTTATTGATTTCCTTGAATGCGCTTCTTCATCCTCCTTACTTGATTTCCCAGCTCCCATAGTGGCACCTGGCAAAGATCCCCTAACGGCATCAGCAAAAGACTTGACGTATGATTGTGGTTGTGTTGTTTGTACTGCATGCTGGCCTCTCATGACTTGATGATTTTTCGTACGAGACACATGTTCTTTTCTTTCAAATCTTGCCACATTGACTTCAATCTTCTGTGTTCCAATGGTGATCTCGTTTAGTCGCTTCTCGAATGATTTAGGGTCGTGAATCCGTAGGAATCTAACAAATCCAAAGATCTTGTTTGAACGGTTCAGCTTCTTGGCAATATACACATCAACAACAGCCCCATACATGCTGAACATCCGCCATAGCGCCGCTTCACTCCAGTCTGAGGGGAAATTCTGAATGTAAAACGTTACGGCTTTCCCGTTTATGTCGAACTCTCTCCCGTATTTCTTTCTTCTTCGTACCTGGTTCCATCCATCTTGATCTGCCATCTTGTTGGCTACATGCAACTCGCCTTTTTCCAATAGGAGTTATGTTTATCTTCACCTAAGTTTTTTGTTAGGTACTATAAGGTTTAAAGAGTGTATATCCGAATATGTATTAGAATCATTCCCAAATCCAAATTGAAATCTAAGCAATCATTTTATACATTTATAAAGTAAAATAGAAAATGAAAACCATAAAGGATCAAACATATTTCGCCGAGTGGGTCCCGACATTTTGTTACATATATAATCAACTTTCAACCGTTTCAAAATTTTTTTCTTCAATTCAATTTAAACTCTCATTCCTTTTAACCAAATGCTTTTTTTTCCTAGAGAATTCCCGTTCATATGTAGGCAAAAATATGTTGATGAGGCTAATCCCTTCTTATATTCATCTTCATCCGATTCATCAAATAACCACAATGCTTTGGCATCGGCTGCTATACTAACAATTTTCTAAGATACTGCAAGTTCAACCTTCATAAAAATCTGAGAATTTATTACGATAGAGATCAGGAAGCTGCTGAAAAGAAACCGATCATGATACAAGATTACTTTGCCACTAATGCAAAGTTTGGGCACGATTAAATTCAATAATAATTTTGGATGAGTAGATGCTTGTTCTTGCATAATGTTGGTGATATAGAAACAAATTATTCATATTTTCTAACAAGTTGGGATGTCATAATGCAGAAAAAACTTTTAGTGTATTTCAAAAACACACATCTGTAATAGGAAAACTAGCATAAAAAACACAATAGACACGCTTGATAAGTATTTGAGTATGTCGGAAATGAACTTCACATGAAAACCTCTACAACTTCTGCAATGCTAAAGATGTATAGAGATAAATTTATGTGCAAATCAACATCCAATGGCATCCAACTTTTGTATGTTGCATACACATAAAGATAGATTTTTTGGTATGTTGCATTGATTGTACACATTGAGATTGGAAGAATTGTCCAATGATATTGTGAGGCTAGTACATGAGATGCGACACCAATACGTAATGATAATACTTGAAGTTGTAGGGTTGCAATATTTATAGATATGACATGCATATTTTGGTATCGTTAGTGGCAATAGTGATCTAAACTTTCTCTATCAATGACCATTATTTGATGAAAAACTGCTTGGAAAGACACCAAAATGTTTATTTTATTTGAACAGAGAAGAAGACAAGCACATGTATTATCTTGTTGATGAGATATACCTAACTTGGACAGCTATTGTGGGATCATTTATGCATCAAAATACCGACAAAAAAAATGGTTCAAGATGGCACAAAAAACATAAATAAAGGAAATGGAACGTGCTTTTGGTGTACTAAAAAGTATTTAAGTCACAAAAAGACTTCTTACGTGGGCAATGGATCAAAACAAGTGTAAATATACAATGTATCTTTGTCTTGTATGATAATAAAACATGAATGTTCTGTTATATGTCTGGTAAATGATACCGATCTCCTCAACAAGGTAAAAGTAAATGAAAATATGATTATGGAATTGTGTTGTTCGAAAACCCACCATAAACTTTGATTGGATTTTGTTGATCTCATTGAGAATACCAACATACTTTCTCTGGATAACTAGATTATTATAATTATCAATTTAGGATTTCATTTATCGTTTATAGGTTTTAAATTTTCATCTGTAGTAGTGTGTGTTTTTTGATGAAATATTATATTTAATTTTAGTTTTATTTATTTAATTTTAGGGAAAACTACAATAAAGTCATTACATATTGATCTCATAATCGATTTATATATATATATATATATATATATATATATATATATATATATATATATATATACTAGTTTATAATCGGTGGGAACCACGGTTAAAAAATTAATTAAACTTTTATAGTAAAACTCAAAATTATTAATTAAGAGATTTTTTTAATTAAATAAAATTATAACCATTGATTTAAATAAATATGTGAAATTATATCATTTTATAATTTGTATTAATTTTATTTTAATTTTTATTCTAATGCTATTAATTTAATGTAATTAGAATGAGAAATTTAAATTTTGAAATAGAGAATTAATATGCTGGCAAGTGACATGTATTAATTAGGAGACATAATAAGATGACACATGTCAAGAGAAGAATAAAATATACATTAATTAGGAGTCATAATAGTATGACAAATGTCAAATGGAGAATAAAACTATTTTTTATTAGAATATATATATATATATATATATATATATATATATATATATATATATATATATATATATATATATATATATATATATATATATATATATATATATATATATATATATATATAAGTTCCAAAAACCGGTAATCGTATTCAATTTATCTCTTTTATCTGAAAAACATGTCATCAAATTTATATTTTTGGCCCAGATTTCAAATTTTATTACCAATTTGGTCAAAAATTTACACTTTTGGCATAGATTTTAAATTTTATTACAAATTTGGTCCGAAATTTACCTTTTTAGCCTAAATTTTAGAGTTTTGTTATGAATTCATCCAAATTTTAGTTTCTTTTACCACTTTTTTTTCTCAAATTTTTGTTTCGAATATGTTTTTTCTTTATAAAATCACATTTATATAAAAAAACATATTTTCACATAAAAAATCTTATATTTCTATACAATTTTTTTTTTTTTTTTTTTTTTTTTTTTTTTTTTTGTATATGAGCACATATTTTATAGTAAACGTGTGTGTGTGTGTGTATATATACACACGTACACACGTATTTCATAGTAAATGTATGAGTAAATTACCAAAATCGTCCCTATGGTGTGGTCAAAATTGCATGTTTGGTCCCTAACTTTGGTTCGATTTTGTTGTGTTTTTCGTCCCTTACATTCATAAATTTAGAGATCAAACGTGCAATTTTGACCAAACCATAGGGACGAAAAACGAAACAAAATCAAACCATAGGGACGAACCGAGTGCAAAAAAAGTTAGGGACCAAACGTGTAATTTTGACGAAACCATAGGGACGATTTCAGTAATTTACTCTAAACGTGTGTGTGTATACATATACATATATATATATATATGTATGTATATATATATATATATATATATATATATATATATATATATATATATATATATATATATATATATATATAACATCGCATCTTTCAAGTCACTTCAAGTTCATCCTTTGCAATTTAATTATGTCATTTTTGGCCCTTGGTTGGAAAGAAGTGGAAAAGGGAGGCCCTAGTGGCAAAATGGTCATTTTTGAAACTTGGGTAGTACGTTAAGCATACTAGGGCGTGCCCTAATACACTGGCATACACATATATACGTTGGACATACGAGTGCCAGGGTAAAACCCTAACTTTTAGGGTCTGTGGAGTATTTAAGCATCTTGTGGACCGTTTTCTCTTCTCTTTTCCCGCCTCCAAGTCTTAAAACCGTTCTTAGCAAACACTAGTCCATAAGAGAGAGTTTTGGAGCCTAAATTGTGTTGTTGGTTTGATTGAATGAAAAGAAAGAGCATCAAGGATTCAAGGAAGGAATCAAACTTGTAAATATGGGGTCATCACCATCTTGGGAAGTTTTGGAACGTATAAAGCTTCTACCTTTATGCTTGAATTGTGGTCTTATTGTGGTTACTTTTTGGCATTCTTTTTGTCCCAAGAGTCCCAATATTGTACATGCTTTTTTTTGGTCGAGTTACGCTATCCTTTCAAACCCTAGGATGAGCCCTAAGGCATAAAAATGAGGTCCCTTGAGCTAGTTTGGTTCATAGTTCTTTGTAGGAGGTCTTAATGGATTAATCCCTTTTTAGTCGACCAAAGTCTTAAAGTTTGAGACTTTATGGTTCCAGATCACATTTCAGTAGTGGATCTGAAATTTGGGCTTAAGTGCTTAAGTCATTAAGCACTTATCATAATTTTGGCCTCTGCGAGGGTACACCTCATGTAAATTGTTGTACGCCCCGCATTCAGAGTCAAACCCCCATAATGGGTTAATGCGATGAGAGGTACACCCAGCGTTCCTATGTTGTACGCCCCACTTACGTCTCCTGTTTAGATTTCAGACTTTGGACTTCGAGTTTCAGGCCATCTTTTGGGCTTTGATACTTGGTCCCTAATGGTTTATCTAGATGGGTGTGTCTTTACCCAAGTAGTAGATCGGACCTTTGGATAAGGCCTAATAAGAAGTTGGGCCCAATTTGGAAAATTGGGCCAAGTGTGGGCTTGAAGTGGTTTGGGCCTTTGGATCAAGATTTAGGCTTTTAGCTTACTGAATCTTCTTAAGTAAAGGCTATTAGGCCCAATTTGGAAAATTGCCCCATAACTTGACTAAAGGAGTTTATTGTAATATTGGACCTTTTGTCATATAGTTTGGGCCTTGGCTTTCGGCCAAGCTTGAGGAAGGGTAAAAAGGTCTTTTACCCTGATTTGGACTCATTATATGAGTCAGTGACTTGGTGTTGATGATTGTCATTTTGGTATCTACTAGCGGGTCTGTAGTTAGAGACTATTCATGGAATCAACTATTGTTGGTGTAACAGCCGAATTTTTATCAGGTATCTTGTTTATTGTATTTTGTTGATTTGTGAGGGGGACTCGGCGAGTTGGAGCTCAGACTCGCCGAGTAGGGACGCAGATTTGGACGCGGGATCGCGCCTGGACTCGACGAGTCCAGGATATGGACTCGGCGAGTCAGCGCTGTGTAATGAAACCCTAATTTCTCGGGTTTGAGACTTATTTAAAGGGCCTAATGGCCGTCATTTGTGCTCACCAGCCCCTTGAGTGAAACCCTAATCGAGTGTGAGCATTTGGAGCTAAGTAGGAGGCCATTATTGACCTTGGAGGTGCCATTGTTGCAAGGAAGGAGAAGAGCTAGCCAAGGGAAAGCAAGAAGGAGCCACTTCTGTGGGTTTGGAGTCCAGAGCATCACTTTTGTGGTAATAAATCCGAGTTACCTTCTTGTTTGTTGTTGTTTATCTAGATTTAGGGTTTGTTGAACCCTTTTATGGCAAGATTTAGTGTCCTT